TTGTGTGCGCTATATCCTCATGAACCAATGGGTTATCACTCAAAGATATGTTTGAGATCAGGGGAAAATTATATGCAACAAACGTACAAGCTGGAGTCACCGTCGCGCAGCGTAACGCAAACCGCATCGACCCCGCCGAACCAGTCCAGCTGCCGTACAGCAGCTAACGCATCAGAAACACCGATCAAAACACCACGGCCCATCAACCTGACACCACACACGTTTGGCCTATCGCATCTAAAAACTTGGTACCAATGAGGCAAAACCTCCGAGGAGTAGATACCTGGCTGGAAAACCGCATTGAAAACATCAAATTCCGCATTGAGCATACTGTTGTACAGAGCAACCAGCTTGGTTTTTAAACCGCGGGTGTTCTGGGTCTTGGCCTAAAAGAAAAGCGTTTACAAGTTAGATGGAAAAAAAAATTACATTCGGTCTATTTCCTTATCGCTCTATTATTTCCTCTATATTTTACTATTACGAATCCAGACAAACTTATAACCTTTTTCTCTAGCCACCCCACGGGCCCGACCAAATAGAATCTTGTTCTGCGACGTGAGATGCTCATTAACAAAACACCTCTCCGTAGCACCCTCAATCTTGTGACCCCCACGTACACCAGCAGGAACTGATCGTTTCTTCAACGCAGCAGCGGCCAGGAAGTTATCCCGTCTGAGACGACTGCAGAACTTCACAATAATGGTCTTGGGGGTTGCCTCCCGATTCTGAAACCCTGCACCATGCGAAACACGATTAACCGCGTCCACATCCGTCGAGGATACAGGAACCTGAAGAAAATTACCAATGGACCCCAGCACTTCTACCAGGTTTTCATTGTCCCTCTCAGGCACTCCCTGGATCTCCAGATTATTCCTGCGAGAATATTGTTCCATATTGCTGAAACACGATCGGACAAATCGGTTACTTATTTTTTCAGGGATATGTTTTCAGCGTTCAGTCTGTTAATGATTTTGATCTGCTCCTGGAAGCGCTTCACAGTCACCTCAAAATCAGACACTCGCTGACTACATAACTCCACCGACTCGACCAACTTGTCATATCTAGAGCTCACCTCACGCATATCCGTTCACATCTCTCTGACCATAATCTACAAAATCTAAAGCGAATATACAAAGTTTTAGTAGAAAACCGTACAGAAACACTAGAAGAAAAGCAAATTAATACCGACTATGGGATCGAGGAAAATAGAATTTGTCGAAAAACCGATGACGGACTGAAATGGATTTTTGCTAAGGGAGTGATTTGTCGTGTTATAGAAGAGTCACGATAAAATGGGACATTATGGAGTCGAGAGAACGTTGAAGAACCTACAACGACATTATTAGTTTGCAAAGATGCGGAAAAAGGTGTAGAATTACATATCCTCTTACGTGAGATGCGCGTACCACAAAGCCGTGAAAGGAAGACCCGAAGGAGAGCTACACGTAATTCGTACCAATTCCATTTCACACGGTAAACATGGATCACTTAAGACCATTTGTCAATAGTGCAAGGAAGCATGATTATGTTCTGTTGTACCAGCACGACTTCACGAAATACACGATATTGCGAACGGTAAAATCGACAAAAACAAAATCTGTCGTAAATACCTTGAAAGATGTCTTTAGTTATTTTGGAACACCACATTGTGTAATAACCGATAGAGCGACATCGTTTACGCCGAAGGAATTTGAGAAATTCTGTGAATAAAACCAAATTAAACATATTCGTAATGCTACAGCAACGCCAAGAGCAAATGGGCAGGTGGAAAGACAAAACCAAACCCTTTTGACTGCATTAACAACCATGTATGAAGACGAAGACGGAAGAGATTGGGACAGGCGAATCCAAGAAATTCAGTTTGCATTAAATGACGCTGAAAACAAGACAATAGGAAAGACGCCCCACCAACTGCTTGTTGGATATCATCCGAGAAATGCCTTGCAAAACGATGTGGTAAACCATTTAACGCTGTTTTCTGTTCAGGATTAATAAAGCTCAAGACCATGAAGATGAGGCGCAAGCAGGATGATGTCGGTGTGAAGCATCGGAAGAAGAAAGAAGTGTTACGCGTGTGGTGTGGACTAAATAATATATATCGTTTTGTTTAATCAGTTGTACAACGGCTCACCATTATAGTCCGCAGACACATCACCATCGTCCCCAGGAACACTACCGTTCGACAAGGAAATTCAAAAACCACCATATATCTACTTGTACATATTTTATTTTAATTTGAAACGTAAATAAACATACTTTATAGTTAAAAGAAAAGAAAAATGCATTATTCTTTCTTCCACCCTACTACAAAGGATAACCCAGTTAATCTTCTCACCAGTAATCAGTCATCAGTTGTCATCGACACGTCCAGTGCCGCCGCGTGTTCATTAGCCGCCTGTGTGTAAACTTAAAAACGCCGCCCCCTCCCACAAAACTTAAAGAAGGAAAATATATAAGAAATAATCTTTATTAAGTAAATTATAAAATGTATGTTAAAATAAATTAACACACACTATTATAAAATATTTACTCGTCTTGCTTTTATGCTTGCAACATTTTTAACTAATTCACCTATATCGGATATCGATAAATCTGTAAAGCGCTCTTGACTCATAGATGACCGTAAATAGTATTTAATAACTTTTAATTTTGAAAAACTTCTCTCTCCCGAAGCAACTGACACTGGCTGATATTGGGAAAAACATCATTGCCTGAGTTCATTGATGTGAATAATTCTAAATATGTCATTATTTTCTTTTAGTAATGTAAATCGTTCAGTGAAATTGTCTTTGTTAGTAAGAATCGGCTCATCATGTGACTCATATTCAAATTGTTTTTTCTTTTTTCTTCTCCGAACATCTGGAAATGTAGGTTCCACATCTAAACTTACAGCTATGTTCTTTGCAAAATTCACAATTGATTCATATTTGTCATCTGTCTGATAGTCCTTTAGATATAGTGTAATTTGCTCTATGGATTCTAGAACGATTTTCATGTTATATGACGNTGTTCCAATTTACAGCTATATCGCCATCCATTTTCATAGGATGCGGCTGACTCAAAAACTCCATGGTTTTTCTTTAGTTTTCTTATTATTTTCTAACTTCTTTTTAAGCGTCCCTTGACTGCGCCATGTTGTATGTTTAATCAAACTATTGCGTTGGTTCAAACGTCTTTATTCGATCGTGTTCTTACAACGACTCCCGCTTGCATGTGGCTCTCATACATGTTACAACTAAACTGTCACTACAGGTCGCCACTAACATTAAGATTTATAATATACAACAGTACACCTTTGTGTTTGGTAAATCTGGTGCGAGAAGGTCTTTTAAGACACCATATGCCTTCCCTCCAATTTAAGTTAAAAAAAGTGGAACTTTCTTGTCAACAATGTTATTACACTCAAACAATTGTTCTATACGTTCGATATACGAGGTAATATCAGACAATTTTGGGTTAAAATGCTCCCTCTTTTAGTTGTTATTACAAACATTATGTCTACTATACTACAATATATACCCAGTAAACAAATTTGCGTTTCAGAAACATTTCTGATACATATTATTGAAACATGAAACGTTTCTTCGACATATTTTTGAAACATAGATGAAACGTATCTGAAACTGCTAATGTCCGACCCTTTTTATGTTTTATTGAAACGTTTGTATTGCAACGTTTCTGCAACATACAGCTGACAATTACGGTACACTACTAAAATGTTTCATTAATGGTTTTGAATTATTTCTGTAATGTTTTGTTTACGTTTACATTACATTAATAGTATATATCATAAACATTTAAAAACAATTTCTGAAAGGTTTCGTATGTAAAGATATAATTTCGTTGACGTGTAGCGTCTGCATCCTGGACAAGATGCTCATACATACTTCTTCAAAAGATATGCATATGCTGAGAAAGCATTTCTGAGCATACCACCCACGGCGCAGACGGTGGACGCTGCAACAAAAATCATACCTTAAGGTAGGAAAAATAATAATAGAAGTACAATACTTGTTACTTACCGCCTACTGTACCAAATTTCAAAATTATCAATCAATAATTTCTACTATTCTGCTTTCTCATTGATTAGGACATATAAAGTAAGTATAAGAGTAGGTATCTATTAAATATATTTAGTAAATATATATAAAAAATAACAATATTCTTTATTATCATCGTATCTAATCTGCGGTTTCCTTATTTTGCCTATTGTACCGTAAATTCGCTTGTCGTAACCAATTGCTTACTACCACTTCGTATTCTTTGTCAGTTAAATGGAAGCGCTTCCTAACTGCCGCTAAAATGTATGTTTAAATTAGAATTCGGTCATGGAAAAAGTTTTAAACTCTTCCTTATCCAACGCGATTTATTCGCTGTAACGGCGATTGTTTCGCATGACGTTGTCGCCAGGTCAATATGGAGCGGCGGCAAATGAACATACCCAGACCGACGCGAAAGTATCGCTACTCTCACAGTTGTTGCCGTTGTCACCTGACAGTTGAAAAAGTTGGTTTGGGCAATGTCAATCGCCGTCGCAGCGAATACATCGCGTTGGTTAAGGAGTAACTTTATGTCAATATAATATTCTTCCGTTCAATAGGGCCGTTAAGTATTTTTTTTTATTGGCTCATTCGAAATATATTATATATATATATTTGATTCTGATTCTTCTCCATATTTTTAATTTTTGATTCTGAGGCTTAGTTTTTCCAAAAAAAAATAATAAAGTTAGAAATTACAGGCCGCGAATTCAGTAGCGCGTCACTCAGATTTGAGCGTACGATTGGTGCGTATAAAAATCAATAAAATTCCTGGAGAGAGACAATGCTACGAATCTTATGCGCTAGANATAGAAGTACGATACTTGTTACTTACCGCCTACTGTACCAAATTTCAAAATTATCAATCAATAATTTCTACTATTCTGCTTTCTCATTGATTAGGACATATAAAGTAAGTATAAGAGTAGGTATCTATTAAATATATTTAGTAAATATATATAAAAAATAACAATATTCTTTATTATCATCGTATCTAATCTGCGGTTTCTTTATTTTGTCTATTGTACCGTAAATTGGCTTGTCGTAACCAATTGCTTACTACCACTTCGTATTCTTTGTCAGTTAAATGGAAGCTCTTCCTAACTGCCGCTTGGAAACCACTGACGATTCAACTATAGTTGAATCGTCAGTGGTTTCCAAGAGAGCTTGATAAATTTCGCGTATATTCATATGAAGAGGTTTTATCGCTTCTATGCGGCTTTTCCATCTAGTTGTTGACAAGGATTTTAAAGTAAAATTTTAGACTTTGGTATTGTCCATCGCTTAGAAAAAAAAATTGTATACCTCTTGAATAACACCAAAAAAATTAACAGTTTCGAATGATATCTTTGCCGCATCGTTCACTACTAGGTTTAGTGAGTGGTTAGAACATGGAACAAAAGAGGCTCTTGAATTTGCTGCAATAATATTTTGCTGAAGCCCATTGTCATATCCCTGACTTTGTAAATCGAAAATATGGAGATTCAAAGTCTGTAATTGTTTTAAAATAAATTCATATAGTCCTGCACAAAACTCCAAGAAATGTTCATGAATTTCTCCTGTATTTTTATTTTTATTGTGATACATAAATCTAATAACAATGGTTAATTGATCGATATAGGTTATATCTGGAGTAGTATCGAGAATTACCAAATAATATTTTGCACTGTAAACCATTTCCGAAATCTATTTTTTTTATGCCTTCGGCCATTAAATAAATTATTTTATTTTGTATGCCATCTCCTAAATAATGCGCAATATTCTTTTTGTCAGAGGTTTGAATACGACGTAAATGTTCAGCCATTACGTTATATAATTTTTTTGATGAACCTCTAATAGCTATACATTGTCGGGATAAATACTGAATTAAATATATTAAACGTTCTATAACAGATTGCCAATATTTTTTTTCGGTAATATCTAATCTTTGNATAAAAGTCGAAACACTTTTAACGAACATCTATTCGAAATAACACTTTAAGCACAGAAAATTGACGCGTGGTCTCTTGCACGTGAACGAACTCTTATATAAAAAAACAACTGAATAACAAAACTTAAAAAATACGGAACGGCCGACTAATTAAATTATAATTAACAAAAATAACAGAAACTATTAACTTTTAAACACGTGTTACTTTTAAATTAAACTGTTATTTCAGTCTTAAGTATCTTCATCCAAGAGAAATACAAACAGCTTAAAAGAAAAATATCTTTCTAACACAATAGAAACTCTACTAACGCAAACTATGATTGTTCTATTAAATGCTTAAAATGAAATTCTTACGTGAAAATTTTATATTTCAGTAATAATGAAATCATAACTTTAAAATTTCTTACTGTATAGTTTCCGATATTTCTGGTGGTTTTTATGACCCTCAGAAACAGTAGTGGCAGTAATTATCACCCCGAAAAGTACCTGGACGTGATTTATGATAGGCCCTCATAGCGAACCTGTACCTGTTTACAACACCGTGTTTGTTCAATTTCGTCTGCAATTAAGTCATAAAAAACACCAGAAATATCGGAAACGTACCTGTAGATGTTTTAGTATCGAGTTGGTACACTTTTAACTTTCAATGTGACTGATAGCCATAACGGCTCAAGACCGACAAGCAATTGTCACATTAAAATAAAATTTTTGAGATACTCGATAAAGTTAGATTGTTGAGCATACCTTTTAACAATGCAATACAGCGCATCTTGCCAATTTCATAATTGCCTTTTCGGCCTAACAAGGAACATTTCCGAGCCAGTTTATCCGAAATCAATCGCTTCAATCCTCTCACTATAGCTTCTTTTGACGTAGTCCCACCTGACATACTAAAAACTGTTGCCTGTAATTAAAATGAACATTTACAATTGTATGTGTAATACAGTAGGTAGAAATAACAATGTTGCAAGTGCCCGAAATGTAAAGCAAAATAGGAATACAAAACTTACCAACTGATTCTGCATTGTTTGATTTTCTGAAATCATTTTGTCGTATTGTAACAGAGACTTAAATTTCACAAATTGGTCTGCAGGTACTGTTTCAAAGGTATTTGTTGTTTCCAACACACTATTACGATTCAATCTTTCATTTGTAAAATGATTGATTATTCTTTCTAAGATTATTCTGTTTTCAACATTTTGTTTTATTATAATATCAAGTTTTGCTAAAATTTAATAAGTTTTTACATTTTTAAATAACAAAAATATTAGACATAAGAAAATAAAATTTTGACTTAAGTAAAAATATATTACTAAGTAATGATCTTACCTTCTATATCCCCATTTTCACTACTCTGTTCTTGCATGGAACCTAAATCAAATATATTAATGAAATAATATTTACTAATAGCAAAATGTAATTTTTACCAAATTTGTTCTCACTATTTCCTTCGTTTACGTTATCTAAAATTATTATCTCCTTATTGATATTGTTCAGCGAAGATTTTATTTCACCTGAAAATTTGCTCGGAATGAGATATTATTTTTAAATCGCTCGGTTAAAATTATATGATTACCAGATGCATTTATTTCATCCATTTTTTCTCCTTTATTTGAGGTTTGTTCTGGAGTAATAAGAGGCGATGCCATTCGTATAGTGGAAGATGATGAGACTGCAAAAGAAACAGCAATAGTTCCATTTTGTAGATATATATTAATGGCAAACTAACTAGTGTCGACATCTGAAATATCCGTATTTTGTTGAATGTGTTGAGTATTAAGAGTAATTTTTGGCACTTTTGGGAAGCATTGAAGATTTAGATTCGCGTAAAAATTGTTTTCTCCTGAACTGCCGTATGCATACCCCGGATCAAGCTTCTGTTTTCTTTTTCGATGTGGCCGTTTCGATGATTTTCCGGTATCTAATAAAAGTGCTGCATTATCAGACGTTTCACCGTCGGTCTGCCCTTTCTTTTTTTCGTATCTTAATGCTTCTACATATGTCACTGAAATAGATCAAAATGTTAAGTTTAGTGGTTACAACTTTTAAAAATTGAATGTAAAAGTCCTATGGACAATGATCCGTTTTATTTGTATTGTTACAAAGGAATACGCTGGAAACTAAAGATGAAAGATGTATGGCTTCATTTTCAGAACAAGGCATATCTTTCACCTTTATTTTCCACGAGTAAATACAGGTGATTCAAAAGTAGATGGCTAATATAAATTTTTTTTTTCCTGTCGGCTTTTGTTTTTGAGATAATCGACTTCAAAATGTAGTTGTTACCCCCACACTGAAAATGAAATTTGAAGTCGATTTTCTTGAAAACGAAAGCCGATCGGAAACAAATCTTTTATTTCGACTTTAAGTTGGCGATTCTATACGGGGTTTCATTTTAGCCATCTACTTTTGAATCAACCTGTATATACTGTATAAGATCATAAAATGAATACCTGGTTTTTCTAAAAGTTTATGGACACGATATTGGTCCCAATTACACTCTGGACTTGTAGCTTTCATTATATGTTTTCTGATACCCATCTTGGGCCAGAAGCAAAAAGTGATCCCATCCAAATATTTTAACCAGTTTTCAGGTACAACTGACACCATCCCATCGTCTTCATCATCAATAAATTCAACGACATTCCACTGCTACGATAATATTGTAATATAGTAGCATATTCATACATTTAGAATGTTTAGGATTACTTTATTGAGATACTAAAGCAGTTAAATCAACTGCAGACATAAACTTTAGTTTTCAACGTCACCCCTTATTATTACTTTTTTATCGTCTTTAGAAATTCCTTATCAACATGCGATACAAGGTCTCAGACAGAGATGATGTTTTTAAGATGAATATATAATACCTACACATCCTAAATAATTAATATTCTAATTTTTCATTATGAATTAACGGTATAACTATAAACTGTCTTTCTAGTGGGATTTGTATGCACTTATTTTTAATGTCACTTAGTAATATGGATACACTATTATTGGGTAATTTATTTACAATAGCAATGTTAAAAAAATTCAAAGAATTGCACGGTTCGTTATACAATGGATACACAGCTGAATACTTTGTTCCATATAAATTAATATCGTTATTTTCTTTATAAATAGCATCAATTATGAAAATAGAGTTATCTTTATGTATTACACAATTATTAGGTTCATGGATACTCAACATAAAATCTTTTAAAAAAAGTTTTTTGTAACAAGTTACATTTTTTAGTAAATCTGTATAATTCGTACAATTCTGAGCCAAAATTGGAAAGTGGATATTTTCCTTTTCAGTTGAAATCAACTTCTGTTCATTAATTCGGTTCACAGCTTGCTGAAGCGGGTACCTGGAAAACTTAACTGTTTTCTTTAATTTATATAAATGGTTTTCAAATTTAAATGAACTGAAGTGATCAAGTGTACCATGTAATTTACAGTCTGCCGGTAAGTGTAATAAATTATGTACATTATGTGATATATATTCCGGCCCATATAAATTTGAATAATTTTTAACAAAATAGGTCAGTAATGTTTGGGCTGCATTTAAATTTTTCTCATACAAATTTTCTGAACACAATATTCTAATAGCGACATGCAATGACAAAAAATGTTCATATTGATAATCAGACAAAACATCTTTTAGAATAATTGGCCCTGTATACAGTAAAAGTTGACGGAGTTCGGTAGCCTTAAAGCGATCTATTTCAGAAAGAGGTCTTGGATCTCTAGCAAATTCATCAACCATATGTTTTTTACATTTTTGTATATTTTTTTCTAGTTTTAATAGTTTCTCCTTGTCTATAATTCGCACTCCCTTATTTCCTTTTATCCAAAATGTAACAAGACGTTTCATGACTCCAAGGCAAACAAGATGCATATAATCTAGAGGAACTTGGCTAACCAAACCAAGTTCAAGCTCTTCAAATGGACTCACAGAATGATGAAACTCATCGTCTGTTTTTTGTTTAAAGCTTTCATCTGTACGTAAGGGTGAAATTAAATCAGGAAAGGTGACTCGGCCATTTATAAAATCACCTTGCTGTGTACATTTCGTACATCCAAAATATCCGGTATGTCCTTTTACTCCTAGCACAAAAGATTTTGCTGGTGCATCACAAATTATTTTGTTTATAACCGGGTAATATACCTTATTTTTGTTTATCATTAACCCGTTTGATTTTAAGTCTTTCATTTCTTCGATTATAGGTGTTAAATATTCTTTAACATTTATTGGTTTCTTCATACCGTGAAAAAGACCGGCTACAAATGGTTCACTAACAAAACTATTATTTGATTCAACTGACATAAGAATAGGTCAAAACTGGCTAGTAGAAGATTTTGTAAGTGGAATACCATCCACGTTAACAGCGAGTTTTAGTTGTGTGTCAATTAATAAATCTGAATAGTTTAGTAAAATATTTTCTAATCCACTTTTGACCCCTAAATGGCAATAGCTACCACCAGCAATTTTTTGGATTTGACTTGTTTTAGGTGTTTTTATAAAAGTCCTAACGTCTTTCGGTAAATCATATCCTTCCCGATTCAATAGTGCCAATAGTTCGTTTATAGCAACTTGAGATAACATTGTTTGGTATTTTATGATCCATTTACGGATGTTAATAATAAAATCTGTATCGTTGTGCATGTGTTCATCAGTTGTTATGTTTACATCAGCAAAAGTTGGAATATTGTTATTAGGTGAAAACGGATTTATCGTGGTTTGTTTTGTAATTTCAGCAACATCACATACATTGGTAATAAATTGGTCGCATTTCGAACTTTCTATCACATTTAAAGGTAAAATATTAACTGGCTTGCTTTGTGATATAATTGAGTCAGGTTTAGTTTCCTTGTTTCGCAACAAACCTTCAATGTTTACGTTTACCAATCTACGAAAATGTCATCTAGAGATATTCAGCTTTAATTTTTTTCTTTCCATCTTATCACACATTACACGAACGTAAAACTATATAACTATACAATTTTGTATGATTGCAGGAAAAAAACAGCCAAATTTAGCGGGAATCGCGATCAACTTATAGGTTATAATTTGACCTACGGAAAACGTAAAATTCTTTACATACGGTCCATTCTTTAAATAATGTTCACCAGCCGTATTTTCATTAACTAAAGCTGGTGGTGATATATAAAAAAACTTATACGAAGCTTACCTGCGCCATTCCAAAGATTTTAAACCAGTATTCGAGCCACAGAACAGATATATCGATAACGATTCGAACGAACTGAGAACAGAACTGAACCACTGAACAGAACAAAACACATAATAGAACAAGTCGTGACAAGTCGCTGATGAGTCACCGCGGCCTGGCACATGCGCAAACGTTCATAGGCGCTGATGAAGATATTCAGACACATTTGTAGAGAAATGTTTCAAATGAAATGTTTCTGCTACATATTTTAATGATATTTCATAAATATTCCTACTGAAATGTATTTGATACATATCTTTAGATACTTTTCGTAACAATCGTATCTGTCACGTATATGAAACGTACTTGTAAAATGTTTCATTTAATTCATTGTACGTTAAAATTGAAATGTTTCACAGATGTTTCTTGTTTACTGGGTATATATCGGTTTTGTTTTGATGATACGTGTAAAATATCTAATTTGTCTGCCAAGCAATTTGAATTATCAAAATTTTTTATTTTTCTTCTAATTAATAAGCATCTGAAGGCACTTTCAAATTGCTTGGCATTCGGATTATTGTTGAAGCCACCACGATTTCTAACCGCGCTGAAATAGGTTTCGATAAAATCTTGGCTCAATTTAAATGTTAGAATCTATAATACATACTTATACATCTTGAAAATAATTAAATATATTAGTAAGGTAAAAAGTAGTAAGCCTAAGAATCCATATGTTTGACCCCGTGGGAATCTTTAAGACCTAAAATATATTTTATTAAAATATTTGCTTGTTCTCTAAAATTTTCAATTGTCTCATTTGATAATGGACGATTAAATTCACTGCTTGTTGAAAATTTATTTCGACAATTTAACATATCAAAAATATTACTTACTTACTTAGATTACTTCGCTTTGACTTTCTATTTATGACACCTACTCCTAGAACCAATGCCTGTCAAAACTCTCCTTTATTGAGAATGGCAAGATCAGTAAATCGTGTTAACATAGATCTGTTTCAGTATTCTTTCTATGCAACTAAAAAACTGCTCTTTGCTGCAGTTGGTGTGTTGCCTCGAGCGTTCATTTGATATATGATATATTTATATCACCTAGTCTTAGTTTTAGTTTTTTCCTTTTGATTCACTTTTGTACCATTAATATTAATTCATTATTATTATTGTGAACTGTAATTTTATTTGTATACAATTGGTTGTTTATGGTACAGTGTTATTGGGTTCTACCTGTTTCTGTACCCACATGAGATAAATAAATAAATAATTATTACACATCAGGTAAAAATGAGCAGTGCCTTTACACTCATCAAATGTGACGGGATTATACTTTGTCCGTTTTAAAAATAATAATGCATTTTACTTTGCTGTAATGCACTTTTGCTCAGTGTTTGACTGGCTAATTTCACATTCATACGATTGTCGTAATATTGTATGTGTTTCGTTCTAATTTTGGTAGCTAAGTGTAAGCCTTCTTTTAATTGAATTTTATTTAAGTCTATAATTAGGCCTTTATCACCCAGTGTGTTCCTCATAAGCTTTATCATGTGACAAGCATAAAAAAATATATAAATGTTCTTGTTTGTGATAGGGTGCTGGATCCAGGGTTTAAAATTATTGGAAGAAAAATTAAAATTGGCCCCCATATTGTTACACATAGATAAATTAACTGATGCCCCGTCGAAGGTAATTGATCTAACATGCGCACCAGTCTCACCAGAAATTGGCTCTTTCTGAGCCGGCAAAGCCTTTAATTAGAAAATACGCCACTGGAACCTTCCATCCGGCGTTCACACAGACCGCCATAAAAACCAAGGCATTTTTTTGCTAATTGAATATTGTCACTGTCCTGATTTGAAATCGATCCTGATTGAATTTGATCCAACTTTGTTACGCGCTGAAAATCTTTGGCGTGACAAAATTAGAAGCTAAGTCTCGATAGTTTAGTCTTATAGATTGGGTCGTGAGAGAGCGATCCAAACAGAGTGAGAAAACAAAATATGTATACATAGTAAAAGGGCGCCACCAAGCTGTACCTTTTTCACTTCCAAAATAGTAAATTTAACACGTTGAACTTGGAAACGTATAAAATATTTAAACGGGTAATATGAGCCACGAACAAATTAAATGGGGAGAACTACTGCAATAATACAAAAAAAATGTAATAAATCAATACAATAATTCAGAAAAAAAGAAATATATAACATTCAAAAATTATAATAAATTTATGTGTATACTGTTGAGACACAATATCTCATAGAGAGAGAAAAAAATAAATCAAACGTAGATTAAAAATTAATTTCAAGTCATATACAGGGTATGAACATGGTTAAAGAATGTCTTACTTCAATTCTCCCAAAAATATCAAAATGATATTAATAAAGTTTCAAAGTTTAAAAGAATTATATATATGACAGTGAACGTAAGACATAGATAGCCATCTTTGACTTCAATTGGTCCACAAAACAAATTAAAAAAAATCTTGCGAGTCAAGATCACAACTAAGATGAAATAACCTCAAAAATTAACAGACTTAATTACGATTATCTCTCTCTGATATTTAATTTGAATATTTAAAACACAAATTCATTTACATTAGTTATCTCAATAATTGAGAAGATTTCTGTTTATAATGATATTAATAACTGATATTTATATAAAAAAAATTATCAAAATAGAAAAATTTAAAAAGAAAACTTATCTCACGATGATACCAAAAATCCGTAGCTAGAATTAGTCAATTATCCAGAACCAATTTCATTCCAATTCGCTGTTAGAGGTATGTAGTTCGTTGTGGAAAACCAAATAAAAGGTTAGGTTAGGTTAGCGACATCAGCTGACTGTACCAGATTGTTCTTCGAAATACGACACAAGGCGACCTTCAATTACAAGTTGAACTTGTAACACGCCCTCTCTACCTGAAAGAAGTTTACCTAGTAAACTTAAAACTGAAAACCAAAACGTATCCAACCCAACAGTCGAAAAGACAACTCTAATTAGCCATCAAGTCTTCGGCAAATCGGCCGGAGGAAAAAAAAAGAATAAGCAATAGATAATAGTCACGAACACGCACCATCAACGTGCGAGTAGTGATCATCTAAACCTAAAATCTTTAATATCGATATTCTCGTGAAGCGAGGATACTCCAAAACAAAAAAAATGACTAGCAGGATAACAAAACAAGGTATACAAAGATAGGTAAGTTAGTGCTGAACCCACGACAAAACGATACCCTAAAGACAAATTCAGCTCAACGTATGGCTGGCGTCTATCGCTCCTATAATTCGAATATAAAAACCAACCTACAAACAAAAAAAGAATAATATCAATTCGAACGCAAAACAAAAACCCCTACGGTATATCGCTATTACTATCATAAAACAGAACAACAATGGCTAAACGGCCACGGTAATTTTTTGTGGTACTAGTTCAGAAAAATAGGGGAGGGCAATGAAGTTAAACTAAGGGATGTACCACACCAACAGGGAAATAGTCAGACCAATACTATCCATAACATCTATGGAATAGCACGAAAGAAAAGAAAAGCAACTTAAAGCACTTTTGCAAACTTGTTGACTGTTATAACATGTGGTTATAAAGACATTAAACATGGACAGCTGATATTGATCAAGAAACCACAAGTCTATTCAAACAACAAAAACGAACAATGTATACATGCACATATGTCCAGTTGGTGATTGAAATTAAACTGTTGTAACAAGCAATCACAACCAGAGATCTTCCCTCACGAGATTCCAAAAGAGGAAAGAAACACCAAAAAATATAAGATGGTAAGTTATTACACCGAAAAATTAAGAAAAAAAAATTAACAACAAATTTTGATAAAGTGATCCACTGTGGCATTTACCTTACAATCTAATTTATAAAGTTTTTTATAAGTTTTCATCTTTTATGAAATGACAGAGGACTAAATACATTAAATGTTTAACAATCTTTTGGAAAATTTCTGAGTGTATAGGACAAACATCTTGAGGAAAATCTGTGTAGGATATGTGGGAAAGGATATTGGGAAGATGGATAATATTGGGAATGTTAAGGAAAAATGATCGACAGAATATTAAGGAGGGCGGCAGTGGAGTTACTGAAAACTTGCGCTGCAAGCTTTACTTTCATCTTCTGACGATTAGTGGGGTTTACGTGGGAATATGTAAGCTTGGTTGCTCTGAATATCCCACTTTTCCCATCCAATTCATACAGCCGATGAATGTCACTCCACTTCACCATTTTCCCTTCAAATACAATATCTTTGGTCAACAAATTATTCCTCATGCTTTTCAGCATATGAGGGACATTAAAAAGATGAATAATTTGGTGGCCATCAATATTGTATACGAATTGATCACCTTCCTTACCAGATTCTGCCGAAAGCCTACGCAAGGCAGTTACATTCCACGAGCCACCATCGCATACAGATGCTACGATGCGAAAATCTGTTTGTTCATGAACAGCTCGTACAACTTCCTTGATCAATAATCTTAGTGCATACTGATTCGCAGCATTACGGGTAAAATAGAAAGCAACAGGTTGCTTCCATTTTTTCGCTATACCACGAATCATAAACACCAAAACATGATCAGCAAGATTTTGACTCCTTTCTGTTCCTGCCTCTACAAACCCTTCAACATGCCAACTATTCCCAGTTACTGCCAGACTTAAATTTTTTCCAATGTCCATTTCGTCAAACATAAGCGTGCAGTATCGATCATGGAGAGGCATTTTATTTGAAATACTCTTGAGGTNCGCGAGACGAAAGCGATTATTAGGAAAAGGAGTAGAGAAGGAGCATTTCACAATTTAACGGTGGAGATGCGATTGAGTGATCCAGAGTCCTTTTTCAATTTTTATCGTATGTCTCCTTCTTTATTTGATAAGTTGTTAGGATATATCTATAATGATATAAAGAAGGAAGATGTCCATAACGCAATAAAACCCTCAGAAAGGTTAGCGTTGACGTTAAGGTAAGATTTATGAGAGCAAAAAAAAATGTGTATGCATCTATATATGATGAATGTTATGATTTCTAGATATTTGGCTACCGGTGATAGTATGGTGTCATTGACCTACTTATTTCGAATAGGTAAGTGTAAAATTTCTTCTTGAAGCCAGCTTTGTATTACGAACTTCTAGGAAAAAGCACTGTCCCATACATTATAATGGAAGTGTGCACGGCCATATGGAAGCGATTATCAAACATGGTAATAAAACCATTGACAAAGGACAATTTCCGAGAAATTGCAAAGGATTTTGAAGAAAAGTGGAACTTTCCCCACTGCATTGGGGCTCTTGATGGCAAACATGTATTAATACAGGTTTGCATATCGATTAAAACCATCTATTAATATGTTAATGTAAACAATTATATTATTGTAGGCTTTTCCGAATAGTGGTTCTGAGAACTTTAATTATAAGGGAACTCATAGTTTAGTTCTCTTAGCGCTATGCGATGCTAACTACAATTTTACAGTTGTGGATATTGGAGCTTCAGGTCGTCAAAGTGATGGTGGTATTTTGAAAAATTCAAAATTTGGTAGTGCATTGGCAACAAATATGTTGCCAATTCCCCCAAAGGAAGTTCTGTCGGGTTGTACAACACCGATGCCATACGTAATCGTAGCTGATGAAGCATTCCCACTTACGAATTACCTAATGAGAGCATACCCTGGGAAAAGAGGACCGTTAGAACATAAAAAGGAAAATTTTAATTTCCGATTATCACGGGCACGAAGGGTGATTGAAAATTGCTTTGGCATTATGTCAGCTCGGTTTAGAATATATCGGAAACCAATTTTATGTAATCGAGCAGGAGTTATCAGTATTATTCAAGCAACGGTGTGTCTCCACAATTATTTAAATAAATATTGTTCACGAAATATTTCGGGTAGAAATAATCGTGTGAATGCTTATAAGGAAATTACACGAACTGGAAGTAACACATATTCCCGTTCAGCTGAAAACATAAGAAATGAGTTTGCGGAGTATTTTTTAAAATACCCGATAGAACATGTCGAATAAAATATCATAATAAATTAATTATAAAAACACAGTTTAGCCGTTTTTCTTTCCTTAACTTTTTATATTATTTAAAAAGTATAATATTGTATTATAATAAAGTATAAGTATATTATAAGTGATATAGTTTATTAATAATTAATCGGGAAATATCCCATATTTACTTTTATAAAATATTTTATACATCTCAAACATAAAATTATCCTGACCTTGCTCCGGTAGTTGCATAACTTTTTTCGCCATACTCGCGAAAAACAGTTCAATGTTGCTCATTTCAGGTGCAGCAGATGTTGTGGGCGGCATGTCATGTAACATGTCTTGATAATTCCGCTCTCAACAGCTCTTCTATGGTATCTTTTGATTCTTAAATAGAAAGAAAGCTATCTAAGTGCATTTGTAAAATACATAAATCAATCTCATATAAAACTGAGAATTACTTTTTCGTGCAGAAGTTTTTGTACTCTAAGTTGGCAACGGTGGAAGGGGCGTTGGAGCTTCCACCACAATTTCATCGAAATTATTTCGGATAGGACCACTAGGCAATGGATTTTCAGCATTCTCGCACTCATTCTGAATATAAAAATGAATAGGAGTTTCTCCTTGACCGTCTTCATCACCTACAATAAAACAACAATACAACAAATTGTTCGGCCGGGACAATATCTGGCAAGAAAAAATTGGATCATTACCTTCTTGGTAATGGTCCAATTCAGGGATGCCAGATTTTTTATTTTGACAAAAGTTTTCAATGAACAAAAAAGAAAAAGGTCATCGGTACAACACATTTTCTTAAAAACAAAAACGGGTTACCAAACCTTTTTTACAACTTAAAAACTACTGCGGGACATATGGCAGCCCTATCGAGATTTCTGGTTAGTAGTTATAAAAGATTTAAAACTTGAAAAATAATACTTACAACTTGGCGATTCTACTACTAAATTTTTGAAGTGCTTCCTTCTTGTTATAGGTAGTCCATAGTCGAAGGACTTTCATTATCATCCGCGTTCGTTGCATCAAAGTGCATACTTCTTTCCGTACTATAAATAGAAATATTACAATTAGAAATACAAAAAAATATTACTCATGACTGCCTCTTACATACTGCCTCCAACATAATTATCTAAAAATTGTAGATATTTAAAAAAAGGCCACTTCTTTGTGGAAGGTTTACCGCTTCCACTAGGCAGTTTTGTTTTCTTTTGTTCTGCAAAATATTTGTATCGCAGCGTTTTCCACTTTTGCATGCATTTCTCGGCTGTAAATAAAAATTAATTATAATGTTATTCTAAATAAATTTTAGATTAGTTATCAAAATATACTTACTAGTACATCCCATGATTTTGGCAATCTCTGCTCACGATTTCTTGCGTAAGAAAACGTTTTTGTAATGTACTGATCTTACGTCGAACAACACCGGTCTTGCTTGTACTAAATTCACAAGTTTTTCAACGTTTTCCATTGTAAAATAAAAATTACACTCAAATTCATTTAAACTCCGCTCCACTGCGCTCGATTCAGCTCGGCTACAAAAGTTGGATTGAACCAACTTTTGACGCCGAGCCGAGCTTAGCCACGCCGCCCGCACGGACACAGAGAATAGCACGCTGAGATTGGTCTATTTGTTAAAAAGCCGAGCTGAACTTAGCCGGGCTGAGCCACGGTACGGACCGCTAAGACCCACCTTAACACGCTGAGCCATCACGCCCCCTGAGTACGGCTAGGCGCTGACATGCAATTTTTAGTCGACCGACTGTTTGGTTGCATGAGTGAGACTACAGAATCTTTATGAGAAAGCGCTCACATGCAACGGTTTAGTCGGCCGACTATTTAGTTTGTGTTTTATCTCAAACTGAATGCAACGTAACGGTCGCGCAACTATCTTGTGAACTACTTGTTTAAACGTGTCCGCGCTCACATGTCCACGATAGTCGGGTTGGATTGGGTGTGGTCGGGGTTGTTTTGATGATTTTTCTTTTGTTTCATTCTGTTAAGATGTCTTTACAAGGAGGTAAGTAAGACAAAAATTTATAATATTCAATAAATTTATTTTTATTTGTAAATTATTTTTTATCAAATCATTTTACCTATCAATAACTTATGTTTTGTTGTTTCCTACAGTATATTTGTGCTGAGTTGGAAGAATAAAGTTTAGTTATTAAATAATATGCATGTTTATCATTTCTTAGGAATTGAGATTGGCGATGATTGGACAGAAAGGTTTATTCACGCTATTGAAAGTAAACCGGCTATATATGACAAAAGTTTGAAAGAGCATTCGGATCGAAACATAATTAACAGATTATGGGAAGAAGTTTGCGAAAAAATGATTGAGTCGTGGAAACAAATGACACCACTAGATAAGAATATAAAAGGTAAGAAAAGTATTTTTATATTTTTTCATACTGCCACGGAACAGAACCTTGAGGAGACGTAAAATATTTAGTAAAATATTCTCGGGTTGTTATTCCATTGTAAGAACCACGCATATTAGTTTGTTGAATACTAGGATATGGGCATTCGTATAAAGTATCTTCAAAATGTATCCCGTCTTTTTTGCGCACATAGTTATGAAGAAATACATTCAGAGGTCTGTGTAATATTCTCCACTTATTACTCAAAATACCAAATGCACATTCTACCATTCTTCTGGCCCTAGATAGTCTATAATTGAATATCTTTTTAGACTCAGTTAGGTTTTGTTTTCCATATGGCCGTAAAACATGTTCTGATAAAGCAAACGCTTCATCTCCCACAAAAACGAATGGCAAAGGCATTCCATTATCATTTGGTAGTAGCTGTTTCTGCGGTATGGATAGTTGTCCCTTCTCAAGTTTTCGTCCAAAGTTCGAGCGTTTAAATACATGTGAATCACTAGCACCTCCATATGAACCGACATCAATTGAAATAAAACAATAATCTGCATCAACAATAGCCATAAGAACAACTGAACAATAATTTTTATAATTATAAAATAAAGAACCACTATGACTCGGCTTCTGTATTCTAACATGTTTTCCGTCTATGGCTCCCAAACAGTTCGGAAAATTGGTTCTAATAGCAAACTTATCAGCTATTTCGTGCCATGTATTTTCATTTTTTCTTGGCAAATATGTCGGCTTCAAACATATCCATATCTTATCACAAGTATCTCTAACTATTTTCCGTATAGTTGTAGTTCCAATCAGATATTCATAATATCGACGCTGTCAAGCCAAAACGGCATAAACGACGTTTACCTAATTTTTCAGAAAACACAAAAAATGATTAACTTCGTTTGTATTCATTATATTTTGTTATCTAATAGCTAAACAGACGTATTGATTTATTTTACAAATATTAATATTAATTCGTCGTTTCTTTGCCTTCAATATTTTCTGAAATAAATCAAAAACGAAAAAAATGGCGTTTATGTCTAATCGATACATAACCATGGTGAGTATGCCAGATTTATCTCTGGTGTTTATGACAATTAAATGTAATAAATGGTGGCCAATGTGGCGCTTAAAACGTACATATGCCATTTTGGAATAAAGTAAATATTTAAAAATCAATGTCGCTTATGCCAACGAAAACTAAAACTATCCTTTTTAGAGTAATGTATTAAAAATTGTTAAAAATCAAAGTTATGTAAAATTAATATTTTAATTCTAAATGCAATGTATATGTTACAGACCATATATGTAAACAAGACCGTATGCAAAAGGACTAGTCCATATGTAAATGGACTGAAATTATTAGTCTATATGTGTAAGAAGCTTGTTCTTTAATAAACGGACTAGTCGGTTTGAAAAAGGACTAGTCTATTTATAAACGGTCCATCTGCAAATAGACAATATACATACCGTAATATTTTAAACAAAGAAAAAGTGCATTTTTTACTTATTTGTACAAGTTAGACTATTGTGACATTTTGAGTTACATAATACATTATTTTTTCGACAAGCATATTTGTTTGACAGACATTTAGTCTTACAGTAACATTTTTTGAAACCTTGCCCATGCCCAGTAGATTGACTTGTAGCCACCGATCTAAGAGAAACTTCCTTATCTTTGGTGATTTCTTCAATTTTCAAAATGTTAGCAGGACATATACTAAATTCTGAACGACTGTATTTTGAAATGACTCCTAGTTTTGTACCCAAGCGGTAAAAACAATCTTCTGTAGCTTCTAACACTACCGCTAAAACTGACCGAGCATCTCCCCTGCCACGATCGACATCTGGAACAGGAATCCTCACAGTTGATCCAATCTGTGGTTTTGGATGGGTGCTATCTGATATTAATTTCATTCGTTTTGCCTGTGCTTGTAATCCATCATAAGCGCCCTTTCTGGCATTTGCTATGTTTCTGTTTCTATTGCAAAAATTGCAAATATTTTCCAAGGACGTGCTCTCATGTGAGCATGTGGGGCATCACGATTAGTGGGATTGAAACGACTACCGCATATTTCATACGAGAGTGTTTGAGTGTCATTGTTATTTTCTAGTGGTACATTTTCGGTCGTTGCTGTTTGGTGCAATTGGGATTGTTCGGTTTGTGTGTTGTCAGTAACAACCAACGTAACCACTTCTTCTAAATCTTTTTCTGTTGAAACACCTTCCAGCGCTGGTTGCTCTGTTTCCAGTTGAACGGTTTCTGTGTTTTCAATCAGAATAGAATTAATCACATTTTCCAGATCTTCTTCGGTTGTTACGCTATCCATTGCTTCTAATGGAATATTAGAAGTTTTTAATCCAATTTTCGGTTTGTCCCCGAACATGGCTTCATATGGAGCCCTTTTTATTCCAGAGTGCAAAGATGTGTTCTTCATAAATTGTATGAATCGTAGACCTTGACTCCAATGCTCTGTTTCGTTTTCCAACATCCAAGTTGTTAACATGTTCTCCACGTCTTGATTAGCGCGTTCGACGCTACCCTGACTTTGACTGTGACGCGGTTTTCCATGGGCCAGTTTTAGTTCAGGCCACAAACTTTTTAATTCTTCAATAATTCTATTGCAAAATTCGCGTCCATTATCAGATTGCAAAACTACAGGAGCCCCAAAAGTGGTAAAGATTTTTTACTTTCAAGTGGTCGCAGAATAACAAATTGTGTTAAGTGATCCTGGTACACCAGGACAAATCTGTATTTACCATCAGCATGCGACTGATAATCGATTAAGTCTACTTGACATCTGGAATTCAGATCATTGAAGATCATCGGTTTTGATATAATTCCCTTCTTTTCCCTTTTTTGTTTCATTTGACATGGAGCGCACAAGTTAATAAACAATAAAATTTCAGTACGCACTATATTCTTGTATTTTTCCTTTGTTTTTTTCATCATGCGATCTCTATCACCATGACCTGCAAGTAAAAAGTGAGAAAAAAAAAAGAGACCAACCTTAAGGTGGGTCCCCACTATGCCGAGCGACACTGCCGGGCGACAAAAGCCGCGCTAGTGGAGACATGCCGCATGGCTTTGCCGCCAAGCCGCGCGGCATGCCGATTGCAACCCGACTCTTGTCGGTTTTCATCAAAGAAAGCCGGGCCGATGTCAGTAGTGTGTACGTGTTGGTCGGCGTAACATCATGGAGTGGACGAATTCTAACGTCATAACGTTAATCGAAATGTACCGCGTCCACCCTTTACTATGGGATTGCACACCGAAGGATTACAAAAATAAAAGAAACGACGCCTTATTAGAATAATAATTGCTTATTTATTTCGAAACAGATCGGAATGAAATAGAAAGAAAAATAAAAAATTTAGTAAGCCATTTTGCCAGGGAGTGCAGAAAAGAGAAAGATACCTGTACATCGGGCGCCGGGACAGATGCTTGCTATAAAAGTAAATGGTTTGCTTTTGAAACCATGCAATTTTTGAGAGACCGTAACAAGCCAAATCAAACTACAGATACTGCGGTAAGTTAATTTTATATTTGCTAAATTTATAAAGTAAAAAACAATTTTCTCAGTTGTGCTTGTGTTGGAATGGTAAATGCCCTTCAGGAGAATTAAAATACTCTGCAAACTCGTTTCTGACAGACTGAGCTGCAGTGGCGCTTCTTCGCGCTACTGTTGGTATATTCATCATTTGGGAACGTGTTACATCTTGTCGCCATAGCCCTGGAGTAATATCTCCTGTTTCTGCAGATTCGGAATCAAAACACTCTCTGGGGTTGTAAACATTTTTTGATTTACTTTTCCTTAAATAATTGTGCAAATGTAGTAACGTTAGTGTTATTTTCGTAGCTGTCTCTGGTTGTAATAACATAGGTTTTCTCAATATTCGAAAAACAGAGGAAATTATCCCAAATGCATTTTCCGATACTCTATGTACCCTACTTAATCGATAATTAAAAATTCTTGATTTAGAGCCTTTTTCTTGCAACCCCGGAAAAGGTTTCATTATGTTATATGATAACGGAAACGCATCATCCGCAACAAACACAAAAGGTACTGCTACGTTTCGTCCTGGTAAAACACGGGCTGAAGGCAGATTCAGTGTGCTCTCTCCGAGCCATTTCTTAAATTGTGTTGCGTTAAATACTCCCCCATCAGAAACACTTCCTTGCGAACTAACGTTTGCATATATAAAGTTGTAGTTGAAATAATCGGAACCACTGTTCAGAGGAGCTTGCAGAGTTATATGTTTTCCATCCATTGCTCCGACACAATGAGGAAAATTCCATTTATCTTCGAACTCTTCACTTATAATTTCCCATTCTCTTTCATTTGCCGACATCTGCAACATTTACATTACTTTTTTTTTAGGTAAAGGAGACATCTCAACAGGAAGATAGATGTGATGATGAACAGAGGCCCATAGAAGACCAAGAACGGCAAGAAGTAGGAGCAACAGAAAATGTTTCCACACCAACTACAAGTAAAACATTGAAAAGAAAACGCGAATCCACCCCTAATGTAATGAGTGAAGCAATTAATATTTTAAAATCCATACAGGTTAAGAGACAGGATAAAGATGAATTTGCTGTGTTTGGTGAAGAGGTTGCCATCAAACTCCGCAAAATACCATCTCCGCATGCCAGGTTCATGGCACAAACAATAATTAACAATACCTTATTTGAGGCACAAATGGGAAAGTACGATGGCCCTATTATCCAACCACAGCAGTATCATCTCCCTTCAACTATATCCGCACAATATCAACACTTTCATCCACATTCATCCATATTTTCATCCATTGACAATCCAAATTATATCACGCGTGCACCACCACATAATACACCTTCAGAAAACTCACTCACCGACATAATGTCGCCAAGAACTTCGACAACGAAAGAGGATATTGAAGCCATATTAACAGTTTTATAGAAAAATATTTTAAATAAAGTTTTATTAGAGATGCAGTAAAACTATTCTAGTTTTTTTTACCTTAATATAATCCTGTAGTGACTCGATCAATGCATCACATACCGCCGGTATTGTTCTGGAAATAAGTTGTTTTGATATTTTAAAAGTATACATGAGGGACTGGTAGGAATCTCCTGTAGTAAAAAAACGCAATGATACTGCTAGACGTTCGCTAGCTGGTATGGCCTTTCTAAATTTTGTATCGGCTTTTGCTATTTTAGGTCCTACCATACTTAGTAAATTTTCAAAATCAGATGTCGTCATTCGAAAAAAATTTTTGAATCCCACATCACATCTATATTCTAGGTTAATATTATGAGAGTCATCTAATATCAACTCTTTCATTAGATCGCTTCCACGATATGCATGTTTTTGAAGACTTGGTCGAGTCCAAAATCTTCTCTTTAGTTTACGTCTTCTAGCTGTACCACATTCAACAATTAGTGCAGCGGCAACTGCTAACAGTTGATCTTCTTCGTCGCTCATTTTCGTACGACTGAAATCGCGTGTGGCCGCTTCGGCACGTACTCACTTTCTGCGCAGTAGGGACAGTATATCAGTTTCTGCAAAGCCGACTGGCTTTGTCGCCCAGCAGTGCCGCTCGACATAGTGGGGACCTTTAAGGCTCAGGGTTTGTCCTGGCATTCCTTAATATGGTTGGCCATTCAGAGGGAGATTGAACAATATTGTTTTTTAAACTTTTTTCAATTACAGCGTGCATCGAATCAACTGGCATGTACTATCGGCCAAACCTTATTTACTACATGGCGTAAGGGACAGAAAACAANATTTGTTAAAATATAAATAAAATACTTGTTTTCTTACCTCAACGTAACTGATAACCTTTCTTCTGGATGAATGGAAGTTCTCCACGTGATATCTTGGTATGTTATTGATGGTCCTACCAAGTGCAAAAGCTCGTCAAAGCTAGCTATACTCATCCGATAATAATTAAAGAATTTTTGGGGATGGCACCGTAATTCTTCATATAGTTTGTGAAATTACCCTTTTAGTAAACGTTGGGAAGTAAGGGGATGCACCCAATACTTTTTTCTTCGTTTCATTTTCCTTCTTCGAATCTCTAGGGCACATACACATGCTATCTCTTCAAAATCCATCATCGACTAGTTAGAGCGACAGTTTAGTTGCGTTTTGCGTTATATGCGCACGTCGTAGTTGGCCGACTATATGGTTGCAGTAGTGAGCGCGAAATGGCGATCGACCGATCAAACAATCGGCCGACTAAAAATCGCATGTCAGCGCTTAGCCTACGAGTTATAGACTTTCATTTTATTTAGAATGGTTTTCCGAATTCACTATCATTCACCACATAACCTAGATATTTTGATTCAGGTCGACAGAAATGACATTTCTTCTTCTTGAGAGTCAAGTTAGCACGCAGTTAGCATATCGTCTAGGTAAGCAAAACAATAAAGTTCCAAATCTGCACCCAACACTCGATCGACTAACCTTTGAAAAGTAGCAGGAGAATTATGTAGATCAAACGGCATACGTGTATAGTGGTAAAGACCGTGACCAGAAATAGTAAACGCTGTAATAGGCTTCGATTCAGAAGACAAAGGTATCTGCCAATAAGCAGTCCGAACATCCAAACTGGTTAAATATTCACCTTGCGGTAATCTACACAGAACCGATAACTACCTCCTTCTTTTTCACCAAAACAATAGGACTAGCCCAAGGACTATTTGATCGTTCAACCACTCCCAAACGAATCATATTATCCAATTCATCGTTAGCAACCTGCCTTAACACAGGAGAAAGAGGATTTTGAATCTTCGCAATCCTCTTGCATTATTGTAGGATCTAATAATAATGCAATTACTTCTTTTTCTATACTTCGAACTTTGTACGCTTTTGCTATATTATTTGATTTACAAAACGTTGAAATATATGGATCTGAAGAATACATTAACGTATGAAAAAGATCAGTTAAGTTTTGCAGGCGCGAAAATTTTCTCGTGTGGTGTTCTCTATATTTTCGCAAATCTTTATTACGAGCCTCCACAGCTGCTTCAGAAAACATTCCTATGGGTAAAATTGCTGACTGGATTATCTCCGCTCCGTGTAATAAAATTTTATGTAAGCTGAAAGGCATGTAAAACTAAGCATATAACTGAATGTACAGATTTGCAGTATCTAAAGCGCATTTTTTAAATGCATCGACATTTATTGCATAACCGCAAGATATTGTTTGTAAAACAATTTTAAGCCTCTTGACTAAATTTTCATCCAATCCAGTGATTTTTGCAGTTAATGCATAATTTTCAAAAAAACGACTGGCAGTATTGCCGTCATTAGTTGTTCCGTACCCAGGTTTAGTAATATCAATCAATATACCTAATTTTGCCTTCAAATCGTGTTGAATTTTCTTCTTAGTGTTTTCCATTGTTTTCTTGTCAGCTTCATCACGAATTTGACACTTTTTAATATCAATGCGATATGCAATGTGAAGTAAGCATTCCAAACTCCTGATCCAGGCATGTAGGGAGGAAATCCCATATTCATACGCGTTTTCGTTATTTGGAAATTTGTATTTGAGGAGCAGATTTTCTATATGCATTTTGTCCATTATTTACATTTTTCCAAAATAAACAAAACTTGTTGCATCCTTGCTGAATCATTTAGTAATAAATGAATATTCTTAGAAAACATAAAAAATCGTGTAAATACGATACCTATATGCAAAAAATCTAGTTTCAATTATTTCCCAAAAAAGTTGAAAAAAGCTTGGACTAACTGCATTTAGGTTGTCACTCAGAAACAAAATCCATTCTGATTTATTGTGGTCCAGTTTTATAAAGCTCAAATTATATTAGCGTGCGATTATTTGCCATGGATACGCATATTTCAACCATTGGGTATCACCGGAAATATGTTTAATCATGGAAATAAATCGAATGTTAATTAAATTTTATTGAGCTTTATAAAACCGGACTGTAGAGGTGTAATAACACAAAAAAGCTTAAAACTTAATAATGGTAGAAGAAGATAATAATTCATTTGGAATAAAAATATTTTATTTATTTTTATAAAAACTAGCAAGAAAGTAAACGAATCGCATACTATACGCCGTAAGGTTCTTCTTCCTCGTTATTGCAATCGCATAACATATCACCCTCTTCAATACCATTATCTTCTTCAGTATCTAGTTGGTTATCATCAACGTTATCTCACCGCCATGGTAGGAGAAAACTGACTGTAACCATGTAAGTTCAGGATCATTGATCCAGTTTGCCCCTGAGAGTTCCACTAATAGATTTGAAAGGCTCTCAAGCTTTTTTGGTTTAATAGTATTTTGGAGTGCAACATTCGGTAATTGTATAGTACTCAACTTCTTTCCACGTTTTAATAGCGTCTGAAATGGTTTAGAAGGATCATCATTTCTATAAAACAACTCGTTTTTAAGTAAAATAATATTATCATTTTTAGATCGCTTGATAATTATTCGTTTTGCAGCACTAATCCCTTCAATTTTCTTTAAAGAATTTAATGCGACCTTGGCATCGGAAACAATCCAGTCTGTACCGAGCTTTCGAACTTCTCCTTTTTTTGAATAAATTTCATAGTATTTTAAAGGAGTTATACGATCGTACACCACTTTATTGTGGTGTACGATCGTATAACTTTTTCAACTTGCCCGAAAACACGGTCTGCTGGCAAATACGAATGTCCCCGTATTGGAAATATCACTACCACTGATTCAACAGATCTCGGAGCATCCCTGTGTAACCATAGCATAAGCATGTGCATCATATGCGCGTTTTTATTTTGTCCGGCACATCCATCTGCGAATAGCCTTATTTGCTTAATATCTGGCCCAAATTCTTCCTTATTAAGGAAATCGTGTAAAGCCGAACTTGTTTCTGCAGATCCCCTTTTCGCCTGGTGTTCCATCCACGTGTAGAATATTGGTTTTTTAATATCTACGTCAGTAACACAAAAACAATAAAAAGATAATTGCTGAGCATAAAATGCTGCTTGGATAGGAACTTTGGGTAAAACTTGTACTTGTTGGAGGTCAAAACAATATGAAGCACTGTGAGTAGGTTTTTCCTTCATTAGTTTAAAAAATTCTTTAGCTCGCACTTTATGTACACGTAGGGCAATTTTCAAGTTCTCTATCTCATTTTTAACTTTGCAATTGGTAATAGAAGTTTGAGTTCTAACACAAAAACCACACACGTCTGTGGCAGGGCTTCCGAATGCAATGTTAAACTTATTACTGAATATTCTGCTAAAGTACTTGTAATTTACTTTTAAATTTTCTACCGTATTTGCGTTGTACAGTTTCCATAACACAGTGATATTCAGTTCTGATGGTAAGTAAATTCGGGGAGATTTAGCGCGCCCGTAATGACTCTCATGTCCTTTTAATCCGGCTATAAATTTTTTCACATTTTCAAGTCTATCAACATTCTTGAAAGAGCGTTTGTCTCCCCCACGTTTTTCAACAATACCACAACCAGACTGAATTTTCTCAGCAATAGTATTAACACGTCTCTGAGTTACACTGAATACTTTTAGGAACAGTTTTTGGCAAATGTTAATTTTTTCCTGATCCTTCCAAACCTACAAAAAGTATTAATAGTATTTTTTACATCTTGCAGACAGAAAAAGAATACGAAGTATAACTTACAAAGTATTTTATAGTGAAATTATGGGATATCTTTTTTTCAGGTTTTCGATTTCTAACTCTCCTTGGTTTATCAATAGCTATAAAATTTCCTAGTTTATTATCTTGAAGATTTTTATTTTTTGTTTTAAAAAAATTATTTCTAATTTCTTTTATAATATCGTCTTTGCTTATTTCATAACATCGAAAATCTTTACGTTTATGGGTACAGGAAAAGTCAAAGTGTTCCAAATTAGGGAAATGGTCTGAATGCCTTAACAAATGATAAANTCGGTACGCGGGTGACTGTAGGTCGTGTCTTTCGCCTTCTTTGCAGAGGCA